GTGTGGGAGTGCGGGTGTTGTTGGCGCCGGCTACCCAATCATCAGAGATCCGCCCCAGTGAGGGAGCCCCCTCCTCTACAGCAGTGTTTCTTAAACTTTTCTCTCTCAGGACCCCTTTCCATTCTTAAAAATGATGGAGGACCCCAAAAGAGCTTTTGTTTGTATGGGTTATATTTATTGATACTGACCACATTCAAAACGAAAATTGACGCATTCACTGCTGCTACCGCTTCTCACAATTGTTTGATGGGATTTTAATATTGTATTATTTTTCAACATAGGCTGCAAAAATAATTTGATTTTGCAGACCCCCCCAAGAGTCCTCGGATCACACTTTTGAGCAACACTGTTCTAGATGGACATTATCTCATAGCAACTGTATGCAAATCAATGGCCTGTTTTTATCCCCCTCACTGAAGCTGTTAGGTAATCTGAGTTATTGTTTTACAACCATATGACTTTTCAGGAACAGGTTATGCTGGAAAGATTTTACAGTATTTTAACAGATACAGCTTATTCAAATAGGGATGTCACTACAAATTTCTTGGCAAGATTTCAGAAGTGGTTTGCCCTTGCCTTCTCCTTCTTCCCGGGGCTGAGAGATAGGACTGGCCCAGCGTCACCCAGCTGGCATTGTGCCCAAGGCAGGACTAGAACTCACAGTCTCCCAGTTTCTAACCTGATGCCTTCACCACTCCACCAAACTGGCCTCAGAATATTATTGCAATGTTGTTAATGTTATTTGAACTAGATTGCTATACAGGAAGACCTCGTTTAATAACTGCTCTGCTTAGCAACCATTCAAAGTTATGACAGCACTGAAAAAGTAACTTTACGATCAGACCTCACATTTATGACTGTCACTGCATCCCACAGTCACCTGATCACCATTTGCGTGCTTCACAGCCAGCTTCTGACAAGCAGAGTCAATGGAGAAGCCAGCAGTTGCGGTCGTGTGATGTTTCACTTAACGACCAAAGGGGAAGTGATGTCATAAGCCCATCGCAGTCATGTGATGTTTCACTTAGCGACTGTGTTGCTTAGTGATGGAGTTGCTGGTCCCAACTGTGGTTGCTAATCAAGGAATACCTGTATTATGCTTCCATGCTAAAGGGCTATAGATATTACTGGCCATGAAGTTCTGATAGATATCATGATTGTTTTTGTGTTGTGATCTTTGCATACATCTATGTTGGAAAATGCAATAATTTTTTCTACCCTCATGCACAAGGCCTTTGGCAGCCATGTTGCAGAAGCTCCAAGTCCTGTCTACCACTGCACAAATATCTTTACATTTCTTTCTTCTGCCCAGCATGCTCACCGTCACTGCTAAGGGAACTCAGCTTTTCGATCACCCAGACAGTATTGCTACTCTGTGGATCAACAGTAGATAGAACAGTTCTGCTCTCAGTGGCAAAAGTAACAATGCCATAATTGGGAAGGAGGTCATAGCTGGAGATCTAAAAGAGAAAGCCAAGGGATTAGGAGAAATCCATATGAGAGAGAATACATTCAACCTCTTTTGATAAATTTTGCTTTAAGTTGCAAAAAAGCAAACAATCTAAGGTGTTTTGACTTATTGGACTTTTTGCGGGAAATGGAAAAAAATGAAATTATGATATATTGATTTAATGATTAGTAAAATTAATAGATTATAGAAAAAATGGATGTTAAGTTTAATCTTAGAGTATGAGTGTAATGTATGATTTATATCTGCTGTAAAAGAAGTCGGAAGTCATTCCTTTTTTGTATTTCTATTTCTTTCTTTTTCTTTTTCTGCACTTCTGCTTTCCTTCTTTCTCTTTATTCTTTCTTTTCTTCTATTCTTTTTCTTAATTATTAGCTCTTGTAGTTTTTATCTTTCTGTTTTTAAAATTTAATGAAGTTATTATTTTAAAAAAATGAAGTGTTTTAACATAGAAATTCCTGGATTCAGTTTGCAAGGCACCAGTGACTGAAAGGAGCCTTGAAAGAACAGGTTACGGATAGATTGCCATGGAGAAAATCTGTGTGGTCGGTAGGAGTCAAAAACGACTTGATAGCTCATCATCATCATCTGTGATTGAAAAACCAGGGGTCTCAACAGATGCCCTTCAAGATAGGCAAGATCAATAAACAGGAACCAATGGGATTTTTGGAATGACCTTTATTGCTGCTAGGGTATTGTAACAGAATCTTGAAAGCCTATCAGCGCTTGTCATTACTACAACTTATACCTAGCAAAATCAAGGCAGTGTTATTTTGAGTTTCTAAACCAGCTTTCCACATCCCCAGGACTTAGCAATCTTATGTGAAGCTCCTCCCTTTCTAGGTTGACATTCCCCTCCTCAAGAGTCAGGCTGACATTCCATCTCCGCAGACAACTATCATGGCTTCCTTCACATGCAGTATTTGCTTCTATAGAACGCCTGGCCAATCAAGCTCTGTATGTTGGCCACACGCCATCGAGGTTGTAGGACAGCCTGCTAGCATACTTGGTCAGCTGACTCCAGGGATCTCTCCTTGCCCATCTATTCATCCTGAGAAGCCCGCACTTAAGAAACTGCTTTCAGCTCTATTACCTTTTGCCTTACGGTTGGGTCCCACCTTGTGACGGTTGTTATATCTTTAAAAGTGATACCTACATAATGAGAATAATAATAATAAACTATGCAAGGGAGTCCAGGGGGGAGAGGGGTTTCAAAAAAGTCGAGATGGCAGCTGTGTAACTTTTTTGCACCCACCCCCATGGACACCCCCAGAACTATGTGAGAAAGACACTGACAAGCCAACCACTCCCTATCATCAACTGTTGCTCTGAACTTGTCCCTTCCTGGTTTTATCTAGTATTTGCATTCAGTGCTTCTGAGCCTCAGGCTCTGTCTTAGAATTTGTTCCTGTCTTTTATTACTTTCTTTTATAATTTATACCAGTGTTTTCTCAACCTTGGCAGTTGGCTGGCTGAGCATGGCTGGCTGGGGAATTCTGGGAGTTGAAGTCCATACAACTTCAAACTGCCAAGGTTGAGAAACACTGATTTATACCATGCTTCAGGAGAGATGGACTGCATAGATGTTTGTTGCCTACTTAGCAAGGCAATTTCTATCTCTTGGTTCTTGGCAAAAAATGACTTCATCCCCATCTTCCCATAACCTGTCTTCCCTTCCTCCACTTACCACTAGAGCTTTCTAGGAGTATTGGCAGTCCAGGAGCATAGGCCTGGTAGTTCAAGCTGCTTTCAGTTTTGTTGAAGCAAACCGGGTCAAGGAAGCTTTCTGAACAGAACATACCTTCTCGATTAACTTGACCAACACTTCCTTAGCCTTTGTGACTGTTGCTGTACCAAAGCTTTGTGAGGAATCAAGGACAAAGTAGATGTTAAGTGGGTCGCTTCTGTTGTTAGCTGATGCTCCTGGTAGGAAGAAAATAATTAAACCCATTTTTAAAAACAGGCTACCAAACATGAGGGTGCAACAATCTGAAAATGTGTGTCATGACAAAATTCCTGCTTTTTGTACTTATGTCCTCATGTTCAATGCAAGTACATAAGGCATGGGGTTTGCACCGTGACATCATCATTCTCCTTTTTCTCACTTGCTCCCCCTGAAGATGCCCATGGAACATCTCCCCCCGCCTTGATTCTGCTTGGCATAAGGTGGGGTGGAGGGAAACTGGCAAGCTTTCAAGATCCTTGCTCAGTCTGTTTCCTGACTTGGCCTGCCTGACAGCAAGCCACCTGTCAGACGTGCACAATAGTATCAGAATGTTCAACAAGTAGTACTTCTACCAAGGATTAGAGAAAATGATATCTTTCCAATTAAAGAACAGTGGAAAATGATGTGCCAGTCTCATCTCCCATCCCACAACACTCACAAAAACTTAAGGCTATTACTACCTTGGCTGGCAGACACAGCAACTTCAGTGAGGGATGGAAGGAACTTGGTGGAGATGTCTTCTTTAGAGTCAAAGGTGAATGGGCCTGGGGAAGGAAAGAAGGAGACAGTGAACTTGTTTACTAGTGTTCTTTTGTTGTGCAGGATTCTTTGAACATTGTTTGTCTTAACAACTCCAACAAAGACTACAGGTTGGATCCCTCACCTCTTGGGCCTGTGGACACACTGGGATGTTTAAGAGCATAACAAGCCATTTCCACAAAATGGCTGGCCACAATTGAGATGGTCACTCATAAGACAACCATTTATACTGTGCCACCTGTTACACTGGAGGCAGTCAGGTGAGTCTAGTGGAGTGTTTCTCAACGTAGGCAACTTTAAGATGTATGGACTTCAACTCCCAGAATTCCCCAGCTGACTGGGGAAATCTGGGAGTTGAAGTCCACCCATCTTAAAGTTTCTGAGGTTGAGAAACACTGCTCTAGTGGATGGTATCAAAGTTGTTCTGATTGACTATTTCAGATAAATATAGGTATACCCCCCATCTTCTAACCCCTAGTCAGTCACATTTGTTACCATTCTGCTACAAGAATGTAGAGGAGTAACCTTGATGAACAAATGAAAGAACTATTCAGAGAAAGTAAATGACAACTCAGTCCTGGGAAATTGTGAAGAACAGGTTAAAGAAGCAAGAGTCCATCTTGAATTCAACAGTAACATAGTCAGGAATTCCTTTTGATTTTAAGTCAATTCAATCTCCAGGCCAAATGGATTTCATCCTAGAAGGGAGTAACTGTGGCCTTGCCAAACCTCTACCCATGGTCTCTGAGAAACTTTGGAGAATGGGTGAATGGGTGAAGTACCCAATAACAGGAAACAGCAGGGTAGAAAAAATAATAATAATTGCATAAATGATGGCAAAAAAGAAAACAATGACCGTTCTAGATCCACCTTTTCAGACTCTTAAGCTCAGTCTTTCCCACCCTATCCTATTTGCTCACTTCGACATTCTGGTTCTGATCCACTCCAAGTTCCTAAGTTTTGGCAAACGCGTTCCTTGGATCCAATGAGGGACAACTCTCTATAACATTGGTAACGGACCGAGCTCCCTGACCGGTACTCCATGCCATCCTTGTGAGCACCAATTGGAATTCCTGGATCAGGACAATGACCAGCTGAGAAAAAGATTGGGAAGGGGGGAGAAATCACACACTGATTGATTGATTGATTGATTTATAAATTATATTTTTGTATCACCACGCGCCGAGGATTCAAGGTGGTAAACCGTGAAACCCAAATCATCAAACAAGGCAATGTGTCATCAATATCATGCTAAGCATGATAAAATTCCTTGATAAATCCAACACATCACTGATTATGAATTCTGTCATTTTAGACCAATGTTTCTCAGCCTTGGCAACGTTAAGCTGTATAGACTTCAACTCTCAGAATTCCCCAGCCAACATGGTGGCTGGGGAATTCTGGGAGTTGAAGTCCATACAGCTTAAAGCTCCCAAGGTTGAGAAACACTGGTCTAGACTGTGACTATATTCACACAATACACGTAACTTGGTTATAGAATTCACCCATGTTTTAAGTTCTCCCAGGACACTGAAGCATAAACTAACAAAATGGTCTTGTAATATATTATGCCTTCCTCCCCACTCTGCAAATGTAACATCTATCAAATATATGGGATAATAGTCTGATCCAGTGTTTCTCAACCTTGGCAACTTTAAGATGTGTGGACTTCAACACCCAGAATTCCCCAG